TTTCTTTTTTCTCGTAAGGGGGTTGGGGGGGTTTGGGTTTGGGGGGGGGGGGGTGTTAGGGTCTTTTTCCACCCTATGGAAGCAGTATGGGGACCTGCTGTGGAGCAGAGACTTTCAAATGCTTTTCCAAGGTCTCCACGGTGGCTTTTCGGAGCACGGTGGTTCCTCTTGGCAGCCTCAACCTGAGCCAATGCCCAAGAGATGGGGGCCATGTGCACAGGGGAAACAAGGACTCTGTGCCAAGACAAACTAACAACCAGCTAGGCCAGGCAGCAGATGAAAGGGTCCCCACTGCCGAGCTGTTTTGTCTGGTCCATTCCTGAACAAGGCTGGGAAATTTCACGTGGCAGCGCCCAGATCAAGAGGAAGAACACGCAGGGAAGCACTGTGCAAGGTGGCAAGAGGCTTAGCAGCCTTTCCCCAGACCCCATTTCTGGAGGGAAAGCATTTCCTTGTTGCAGTCCAAACTGGCTGATAAGGGTGCTGGAGCCAGGCTGTAATCAGCACAACCCAGCGGCTTTTACAGCCGTTTTGCCTGATGGGGAGCAGCGAGATCGGCCTCCCTTTCCTGAGGGATACTGGGCAGAAGGAGCTGGGGTGGACAGGACTTATCTCCTCAGCTGCAAAGAGCAACTTTTGGTCTGGGGATGGGGTTTGCGGTTTGTTTGCTATGCAATGAACTTTCCAAAAATATCCATTTGGAATGATCAGAACACCCTGTTTTGAACTCTTATGATGCAGTACAAAAATTAAACCAAGATGCTAACTTATCAGAGCACGCATGTTTTACCAGAACAAAGAAAAAAATTAGTTGGAAACTGGGAGGAGGCACGCTCTTATGCAACAGTTCAATTTTCATGAAACTGGACTTTTTCCAAGGGAAAAATTGTTTCAGGGAACACATTTCAACCAGCTCTACAGGTACCCAGCGAAAGTAAGCCTCAAATGATACGGAGGCAGGGATTTCACAGGCAGGAACAGTGCTACTTAATCAGTCCCTTTCCCAGGATATCCTCCTCGCCTGCCTCGGCACAATCATTTTGCGTCCGTGCAAATAAAACAGATCAGGGCATTCAAATCAAAGGTTATTTTTCAGCCCAACTAAGCAGTTCCCTGACTCAGTTGGCCTCAAGGTCACGCAATTTTAGAGAGGGCAGGGATGATTTAAGGTGGCAACGACACTTGGTAAATGTCAGGGATCCAAAACCAGAACAACACTACTTTTCCAGTCACCCTTCATCAAAGAGGTGCCTTCACTACTGGAGAGACTAGGTGGCTGAATCAGCTACAGGCACACTTGGGAGGTCTCAGCACAGTGGAGCAATGCACAGTTTGGAAAAAGACATCCCCCTCTCTCTGGCTGTGAGCTGGCTGGGGAGCCTGACCATTTCTGGATGGCTCAGGAATAAATATCACCTCTTGGAAAGGAGAGAATTCGCTGCTGTGGCTCCGTCTGGGAAGAGTGCATGCCTCAGGAACAAGATGTGCCATGAGCTCAGTGGTGGCACATGGCAATATTTAGCTCCAGGAAGCATCTGCCAGGCAGCACAGCAAAGCGCTTCCGGCTGTGTCGCTCCAAGGAGTGTCTACATCCCTGCCAGAAAGGCACCAAGACCCTGGTACATGCGTATGTTGCCCAGCTGCCAACCGCTACCATCACCAACCGGGCATCTCAGCCTCCCGGGGAGGCCACTGGGAAGGTGTCTGACTATTCCACAGCACAAAAGTTAAGCTCTTGCTCTCAACCATCCTCCACAGGTGCATTGTATTTTCCATCGCATACAGAGAGAACCAAAGACATCAGATGCTTAAAGCCACATGACACGGAGCCCCGCTCCAAGGCAGAGCAGCACCGTGCCTTACCCGCTGCCTCAGAGCAGACCCGTGACAGAGCCATGAGCCCTCCCACTGCCGACGGCTGTTATGAGTGCTCTTCAAAGCGTTTTGAGCTACATCAGAAGCAGTTATTCACAGAGCATCGTCAGGGTCAGGTCAAGGAATGGCACAAAAGAGGCTTTAATATCCCTCTAAAATTCCTTATGGTGGCAATAGGATAAGCTTTGACTCAGGGAACTGCGAGGCGGGTAAAAGGGGAGTTAAGTTGCCAGGGCTCATTTTTTTCAGTTTCTAGAACACCGCTGCCCAAGAGAACAACCCCTGTTCACAGTCTCCCGCTAAAAGTGGCTGGCAGCTCCAAAGATGTTCAGGCCAGGAACAGAAGAGGCCCTGATGGGTCAGGATTGAATTAGCATGGCACAGTTCCACAGGAAGCTGAGGACCAGAATAGCTGATGTTGTCGAGGACGGGACCTTGAGGCAGTAACAGAGCTATAGGGAGTCTAGTGTGAGTAGGACAGTGGTGGCCACAGGGCTGTGGAAGAGAATCACATTCAATCTTTTTCTGCATAAAGCTGCAGCGGGGGCACTCTCACTCTCATTAACCAGAGTATTTCCTGGTCTGAGTGTGTGGAAGCAAGCTTGATTAGATAGCATCTCTTACCCATCCTCCTCTCCTCTTCAGCCACGTCACCAAGGTCTTGCGGACAAACTCTCCCAGGCAGTCTACGATGGTGTGAACCATGGCTGGCTGTGCATGCCGCACGCAGTCCACTGCCAGCCCAGCTGCCACGGCGTAGAGAGACACCACCTTGCCCCACGTTATGCCTGAGAAAAGAAGAAAAGCTGTTCAGATTCACACATGCAGACACAGCTCAGTCCTGAATACTCAAGGGAAAGATCTCCCCTTCATTACACGTGCCCACGCTGCAGGCACACTGCTCTGCGTTCAAGTGCAGCCACAGTTCTGCGTGCTCTCTGCCATGGGGGGCAAAGAAATCCCCGGGGACCAGGATTGGGGAAAACTCTCCACCTGGAGGAGCAGAATGAAATGATCTGACCTGGGCATGCTTTGACCCCCTCTCAGCACCGGGTGCACAGCTTTGGAGAAAGCAGCCCAAAGGCATCATCAAAATAGGGAAGATGAGCACCACCACACTTTATATTGCCATTAACTCTCAGCCTTGCACACGCTGCACAGGAGGCGATTGAATCCAGCGTGTGAGCAACCCGGGGCTTTTGTCACCAGCGCAACACCCTTTAGACAAAGCATTCCTGTTTTTTTCCAGATCAGAGGAGGGTGTTCCAATGGGGCATGCAAGGCACACATGAGATAAGCGTCTTCAGGCAGTTCTGCCATGACACAAGAGTAAAAAAGGGAGGCAAAGCTACAGGGCCAAGAGGGTTGGCATCCCCCCTGGTGTAAGGAGTACGCCTCCACCTACACAACCAGGTAGCTTCAGGAATTTGGCCACTCTGCCTACAATGCTTCCCACTGCATCTCCTATCCCATTGAAGGCAGCGTGGGGACAGGGTGTCAGCCAGCTATCTAATCTCCCAGAGAACAGCCTTCCTGCTAGGCTGACCTGCCAGCAGTGAATGCTCCGTGGAAGCTGTCCCAGCAACAGTCATCTTCCTGTTAGTGCTAGCCATAAGCGCTCGAGCTCAGTTCTGGGTACCAGCCAACCTCCCTGGGTCCCCCCCACACTTCGCCAACACCGTTGGGCATGAATACTCCATACTTAAACGTTGCAGCCAGCAGTCCCCCTCCAGGCTTTTATCAGGACCAGTGACCTGGAAACACAACCCTTCTGCAGCCATGCAGGGGAACCACCATGGCTCAGCAGCACATGGATTTCCTTTGGATCTGCTTGGAAGTTTAATTCCCCCCCTTACTTTATTATCTTACTTTATTATCTGGAATAGCAGCATTTGACAAGCATACTGTGAAATATTTTACAGCGTTAGGTCTCTGTGGAGCCTGCCCAAGGTCTCTCTCTGCCAAACGTAGCCAGAAGCCAGGTGAGGTTTCAGTATTTAAAAACCACACAAAACCGTTCTTGCTGAGTTGCAACAAGAAAGAACAGGGGTGAGAGGAAGGGAAGATGAGTTCAGTCACGAGTTCTAAGGACCAGAAGGGGTTAAACAGACAAACAGGAAACTGGATGTGCTCAGCGATCCATCAGCTAAGAAAGCAAACCCTTAAATACGATTAAAATGAAGTGAAGAGTCTCCCTCATCCCTGCATCATGCTCCCAGATCCCCAGGCACCCCAACCCGCCTCTCTAGGACGCAGCTCCAGACCCCTCGCGCCTGTTTGCATGGCAGCAGAGCTCCCCACAGTCCCTGCAGGTTTCAGAGCATCTCCACAATCCTTCCACTTAGTCCCTCAGAAGGGACACGCGCACGAACACTTTCAGGATTTGCTTGCTTGTTTTTTGTTTTTTTTTTTAAATAAAAACATACTGAACTTTAGAGAAACCGTTCAGATGTCAGCCACAGAAATGGCTTGTTAGACTGAAGAAAATTCCTTTGGTGTTCCAAAAAAGCCAGTTTTCACTCAAGACTGATATAAGATCAAAACCTACAGATGATCCTTGTGTGAGGAGGCTCTGTAGCAAAGGTAACAGCAGTAGCTCAGAGCCTCCTGCAGTGATCTTTCCTTCACCAGCGCTATCTCCAAGATCAGAGGAAGTTATTAATATAGCTAAATTGGCTGTTATTCTGATTTTATTTTCTGAGCAGGCTCTGCGGTGTTCCTTCCTTCCCCAGAGCTGTCACTCAGGAAGTTCACTGCCTGTGTGGTATTCACACTATTTATCTGTCTTTCTCACACCACGTGTCGCTATGACAGCCAGCAGAAGGAGCCAGGAAGAGGCGATGAAACCGCATGAGAAAACACCAGACAGAGGGCTCCTCCTGGCAAGGAAGGGGCTGTCCTGCTGCAGGCCAGTACCTCTCCACCCGGCGAAGAGGCTTTAAAGGGTTACCTCTTGCTGGCCACGATCTCCTGGACCAGAGCCTCAGCTGGCTTACACTCAGCTTTAGTGTCAGTTCTTGCTGTTCTCCATCCCTGCGGAAATGTGGCTCCTTGCATCTGGAGTTAGATGAACCAAAGTTACCCAAAATTCCAGGGGAGCGTTCTCTGGCTTATTCCCTCACTGACAACCCTCTTGCTTAAGTATCTGAAGCAAGTCCATTAGCTTTGAGATAGTTACATGGCAGTAACTAAGACTGACAGGGGGCTGAGGCCACCCTGGTAGAGAAAGACAGCCACGATCTTGATTAACTTTGTTTTGAACCGAAGTTTCTCTTTCCAACAGAAGAAAAGTACATCCACAACCTGTGAAAGACAAAGGCTCGGTAGCCCCGTGATTCCTCTAATACACAGGAAAGCAGTTTGCTCTACCTACACGTCAGCCCAGGTGTCTCCTCCTAGGGAGGATGGAGGGAAAGCCCCACAGCTCTGGCACCTCTGCCAAGGCTGTTATGCAGTGGTGCTTGCTGCAGGGCTTGCACAAGGTGACTGCTTCCCTGGCACATGGACATCGCGTGGGTGGCAGGAAGAGAGCAAGTTGTTGACCAATGCTTCACGTGGTGATGGATGTGAAGGGTTCAGCGGTCACTTCTCATTATCCTCCTCTTTATGGAGCATGCTTATAAGGGTCAAACCAATCTTTCAGTCGGCTTTTCCTGTTACCGGTGGAGCTGGGCCACAGGGGTGGGAGAGGAGGAAATCCCCTCACGATTTGTCTGCACGGAACCTCTTATTGCCACTGCTGGAGGCAGAAGATGGAGGCAGCAGGGCACAAGATGTTGCAGGGGAGCCCCGAAGCAAGGGAAGAGCAGACACCTCTACTTGCCGCTCTAGAGCAAAGCTGGGCCGTGCCCGTGGCCGGTCCCTCTGCCCCAGGAGGGCTCCAGCAGCCACCCAGCCAGGCAGGGCAGGGGAACAGGCCACAGCAGCCCCCATCAGCACTTTTTCAGGACATCAGCTCCATCAGCTTTTCTCGCTCTCAGGGATTCCCTTGGCAGGGGTAGAGGAGCACAGTCTGCTGGGAGGGCAGTGCCCCTGCCCCCTGTGATGTCCAGGCCAGGGTGAAGGTGACACTAGCTCGGTGCATGCCTTGGCGTAAGCTGGAATAGCATCTGGCCAGCGCACACGAGCAGAGAAGACACATTGTCTTGCTCCAAATTCCTGAAAAGGTCTGGCTGCCATCCACGTCGGGTGAAACGGGCACTCATCACCAAGAGCAACAATCTATTCACAGCTTCCCGCTGTGCGGACTGCTGCACAGGAGCTAACGGCAAGAGGGAATGGAAAATTGGTCCAGAAAGGAGTGAGTGGAACAGAGAAAGCTCTGAAACTTCTGCTCGCAGAGGTGGAACACAGGGACACAGAAAATGGGAAAAGCAGTTTAGAAGGCATTTAAAGAAATAAGGAATACAAGTTGCAGACTCAAGGCCAGTCAGGGAGCTGGAGGTATGTAAACACTGGTGAGCCCAGGGGAAAGCGAATTAGCGGGAGAGGACCGCTCTTGAAAGTGTTCCCGCTGCACATCAGCTCGCCTGCCCCAGGGGAGAGCTCAAAAGGCCATGAGACATGACTGTGCGGAGTCTTGGAGCACCACACTGTCCAAGGTTACTCAAATAAACTTCCCTCTGCTCCACTCAGCATAAAAGCTTTCAAATCGTACTGAGGAGAAACATGATCAAGTGCGACATTTCCACAGCTGGAGGGATACACCAGACACAATATCCGCTCCTCTGGTGGAGAGAGCGAAGCCAAGAGGGACGTGCACAAGGCAGGGAGCTCAACTCCTAAGGCCTAAGGGATGAGGAAGCAGTGGGATGCATTCCTAACAGCAGTTGCTCCCGCAGGGGAAAGTATTTTCTCCCTAGAGCCCATTAACTATGCATCTCTGCTGTACAGGGTTCACTTCAGCCCAAGCACTCGATTAAAAACTGAGGAGCACCTGAACCAATATAAAACCAGAATGAAAGCTTTGAGAGAGCCCTCATGCCTAGCAGCTCTTACCAACTGGAGGAAACTCTTTCCTTTAGGAAAGGAAAATGCATCTCCCTTTTCTTCTTCTGTTTTTCCACCAAGTGACCCCTGCCTTCTGGGATTTATTTAAACAGCTAATGTAAATGCCAGCTCAGCCAGGCCTCGATCCAAAGCCTGCTAAAGTCAGTGGAAAATCTCCTGCTGGCTGCAGAGCACGCACCAGAACCAGGGCTACTGTCACAGAGGTGATGCTGCTGCAGACCCTTCAACAGCCAAAGCAGGTCAGGGCTCTGCGGTGCCGCTCTCCGCGCAGGCAGACTCTCCTCACCCTGAATAACTAACAGGTTGTACGGAAACAGGGAAGCAAAATACAGCTGGAGCCTTACCGTGCTCCGTGACCGGCTCACCTTCCGCCTGTATTCTCAGCTGTTAATCTGGCTGCAACTGGGATTCAAGCTGTCCTTGCTACACCAGAGAAAAGCCAAACCTGAGATAACTGGAATAGACAAGGCTCTAAAGGCGAATATGGCACCACGTACCCATGCAGTGGGACCAACGAGGATGCCAGATGTCTTCAGTCTTGCCTTCTTGAGAGGTCCATCCAGGGCTTGTGCTTACTCAGGACTTGCAGACAGCGTGGCCAGGAAGTGAGCACGGCCAGAGCTACAGCGTGAAGACTCAAGCCCAGACCAGAGTGTGGAAGAAGGCCGTGTAAAAGATTAAGCAGAAAACCTCTCCAGTAAGGTAGGGTCAAAATCTCCCACTCCCTTGCTGGAAAGGCATTGTGAGTGACTGACGGGGCTTCCCGGACTGTCTAGGCACTGCCACATCAGACTGTAGCTGTTTTCTTAATAAACTGGACGGTGAAAAACAGGCTGAGATGCTTCAGCTGTTGGCAATTGGCTCGAAAAACTCAGACTGCACTTGAGTCTCTGGTTTCTTTCACTCAATAAGAGCCTCTTTGCTCTGAACTATGAAAAAAATTAGGACTGAATGTCTGGCTGCCACAGCCAACTCTGATTTGCTGGATTTGGCATTAAATGCTGAGTCTTGAGACTGCAGCTGGGATCCAGGAATGTTAAAAATCAGCAAACTCCTCCCCCTCTGCCACTCAGCAGCCTTCTAGCAAGAGAAATTGCAACAACAAGTTGATAAAAGCAATTGAATATGCAGCCCCAGCTTCATGCTCACAGGTTATCCTGTCAGTTGCTCTGAGGCGGAGATGAGAAAGAAGAAAAAAACCAGAGCATACAGAGCACCAGGAAGGTTTGAATCCACCCCCCCGTGTAGCCAGCCAACTGCCAGCCATCTATGCAGCATGGTGTCCCCAGACGAGGGCCAGCACCAGCACGAGAGCTTGCGCCTGGGCTTCTACCATGTTCCCAAAGTCTCTAGCATCGCCAGCCTCAAAGGGCTGTGTCCAGACCCCATTCTTACTACTCTGAAAACCCCAAGTTTAGAACCAAGAGTTGCAATTTCTAGCTTTACTTTCAGCAAAAGCATTGTAAACCATGCGCACCTTGCATTTGACTCCTGAGCTGAGAATTTGAACAACACCAAAAAATGCAGCTCTCAATCTATCTGTCACTACACATTGGCAAGAGCAGGAGTCCCAGAAGCCAGCAGGGCTTTCTCCCCAGCATCACGTTTATGCAGCACAGCAGCACATGCAGTCTGCTCCGCCTGCAGCCATCCACCTCCCCGCCTTAATTCCCTGGAGGTAGGCCAGTTCTGATGCAGTCAGCTACAGTCATCTAAGAAGATAACCCACTTACCTGCAATACCTGAGCCTGCGTTTTCCTGTAAGCCTTGATGCAAGTAAAGGTCAGTGCTAACTGACAAGACAGGGCACCTGCACTTTGAACACAGCCCCACTCCAACATTCTGGCCATACTTGTCCAGCTCTTGCTCTCTGAGCCCATGTGGCCGCCCAAGCCAGCCCGGATGCAAAGGCAACCTGCATTCCAGGTGTGCTCTGTGAGGATATTGAGGATGCTGAGGATGGCAGTATTAGCTACAGAATCCAATTCCATCCATTCCTTATGGCACTGTTTCAGTTTCCCTGATCTGGGGAGTAAATCTGCCCTACTAGACCTGCTGGCTGCTGTGCTTTTGCAGCCCCTCTCAGATATCTCTTTTGCCATCTGTTGTGATTCTGGAGAGCACCTGTGCTTTCCACCACAACACACCTCAGATCTGAAGTCCGGGATGTCAGCACAGGGCTTCTCCAGGGTGTCAGTGGTTCCCATGCAGTTCATACGCATAAAGACACATAGCTGACTGTGAAGATAAAAAGACTTTGAGCGAGGAAGCCTATCTGAAAGTCCAACAGAGACCTGGACTTCTATTCTGTACCATCTGCTCCCAAAGTAACAGGAATCACTGCCTCCCGTGACACTTACAATGTCAACGACACTGGATCCAGTGTTTTCACACTACTATGCTGTCAGCAAGTAGCTGTCGGTGTGTTTTGGGTTTTGTTGTTGTTTTGTTTCCAGACTCTAACATTTGCTTCCATGGATAACACGAGACTGCAGAAAATCTACAACCGCATCAGGACTTGCCTGTCATAAATCTCCACCTAAAACATTTCTCTTCCCTGTTTCCCCCAGCCTGCATTCCCAGCCACGGGCAAGGACTGTTTTCAGGGAGGCTGAGGTTCCCTCGCAGGAACACAGCACAGACTGTACCTTTGCTTTTGACAACCATTGCTGGGACTGGTCAAACATCAGCAGAACAACATTCACGTCAAAGCAGTGAGAAAGCTCAACGCACCGGCCTGTCTGGAGCAGCTAGCCTCGAGGGCTGAGGCTCCCGTCTCCCCGGGTATGAGAAAAGAGAAGCAGTAACTGGAAGCAGCAGGCTCCATTGCAGTTCTGGCTATTGCAAGGGAAAAGGAAGCCAGAAAGAGAGGAACTCCCTCGTGGTAAGTTGGTTCTGGCTCCCAGCACCAGCAGCATGAGCTGGAACAAGGGAGACTCCCATGTAATGAATCTTCTCCAGTTGCCAATGGTGAGCAAAGGAGCTTGGAATGAGTGACCTCCCTGAGCAATGAGGTAACACCACCTCCTAACGAGGAAGGGCAGGAGATGCCTTCTAGAATGAGCGAGAACCTGCCAGGAGGATGTAACAAAACAGGGCATTTCCCTACCAGAACAACATAGCACAGAGGAGCTCTCATTAAATCATTAAAGCAGGGCACGCTGCCAAACTGCCCACGGCCCTTTCAGAAATGGTGCCCCACCTCGCAGGCCAACCCAGAAACATGCCTTCTCTAAGAGAAGTGGCCCCATCCTGTTCCTTTCCGCCCAGCCCTGTCTGGATATCTGTCAGGGCACAGTACCTGCAGTGAAAATCTGTGCAGCCACTGCCAGGAAGGCGTCCGTCACCACAGTTTCTGAGTGCAGCGAGATGTTCAACTGGCGGGCGATATTCCGGTAGACATTGGGGCGAATGTATTCCAGCTCATCCCCTGGAAACAAACAGTCAGGAGTCAGCATGCAGAACACCAAGTCCTGCTCTCACCGTGTAGGAATCACAGCTGGGGCCACCCCCCGTACTCCTCCAGCCAAAGAGAGTTAACCCCAGCTCCACCGTATTTTAAGCAGGCAGCAGGAGTGCTTGGGGTCATTAAGACGCAAGGCCCTGCCACCCGCACCCTGCTCTCCCAATACCCTCTCTGCCTAGGACTTCTACAGGGAGCAGGGACCGGCAGTGGCCCCATACCAGCGGTGTGGCTGCAGTAATCCCCGACATAAATGATGTTCCCAGGCTGGATGCCTGCCTTTCCTCCAACACAGGAGACAGGCCTCAGATAAGCAAAGCCATCTCATTTTTCTTCAGAAGTGAAATGGAGGCATGTACATCTACGTCAGCTTTTGAGACAAACACCCTTTCTCAACACCCCATCAGACTCGTACAAAAAAGCCTCAAGATGACAGCGACTGAAGAATGCTGGAGGCTGATGAAAGCTGAGGATCCACCCAGAGCTGCAGAACATTAATTGAGCCAAGAGACTATCCGCTCAGCTATTTTATGCTCACACAGGCACTGTGACGATCTGGAGCTCTTTCTCTCCTCCGAATGGTTAAGGAGATGTTCATTTGCCTGGCTGCCTCCTCAGCAACAAGGTTCCCGACACACGCACAGACGCGTGCTTTAACCTCCAGGTTGTTTTCTCCCCGGCTGGGACGCGGTTGGAGGCGTCAGGCTAGCTTGAAGACCAAGATGGAAATACCAAGGACAAGCAAAGAACCTCCTCCCACAGGCTTGCGCTATGGAGTATGTGCAACAGCAGTAAAGCTTTTCCTCTGTAGCAAAACAAACCATTTTTGAGCAGCAGGATTAATAAAGCCCGGTTTCCAATGGTTTTCTCTCTTTGGGGGGGTCCACAGATACTTAACGAGGGTTGCACTGCTGCCACAGGAGGATTACACAATGCAAACATTGCATGGGACCAAGGCCCTTTGTGCATGGGGAGTCCTATTTGGTTTGGATTTAGGAGGACACTCCGTGTCCTTCTCCTGCATGAGGGTGCTCTGGAGCACACAGGGGAAAAGGGGAACTGTCACACCAGCTTTACATCCCACTGCAAGACCCCAATGACTTGCCCTAGTCAGAGGGCGACTGATCCTCCTGAAAATTCGATTTAGATGGGGACTGAAAAGGAAGATGACAGCCCAGTCAGGAGCTTGTTACAAAGTCACTAGCTACGGGACATTAATTCATCTAACTGGCCACTGTCAAAGCCCAGCTCTATAGAATTCCACAGACGAACTCCCCAGGCCCTTTGTGAGTGTGGGATTGTCCCACACAATCTCACGGCAAGAGGAAACCCTGCCAACACATGGTCAGCCCTGATAAGAGGAACCATTGCTTGCACTGCTCGGCAGCTGTTTTCTGCTTGCAGGGAGCACGTGAGCTTCCCTGTAAATGCAAGGAAACGGGGATAGCCCTGCCTGTGGTTAGCCCAGAGGGAGGCACGGGAGGCTGGGATCAGCGTTTGGGAGCCTGCCACTGGGACAGCTTTTAACAAGCAGTGCCTGGAGGCCCCAGATGAGATCAGGTTTTGGTTGGAGGCACACATGCTGCTCAAGCGGGCCCTGCCCTGCAGCCACGCACAGGGCAGACAAAAGCGGGCAGGGGAAGAAAAGTGCAGGAAAGCAGTCACAGGCTCATGGAGACTCCCAGCCCCGGCAGCCCCAGGTCCCCCCAGCAGCGCATTACATCGGTGGTTATCTTCAGTGTCCATGTTCAGATGCCCGACTGCACACTTTGCAACGTTTAGAGCAATTTCCGCGCTTTTCCTCCTTCCTGCAGTAATCACAGAGGAACTGCAGCAGGGCAGCAGTGACAGTCCCCACACACTCAGTGCAGCGGTGAAAGGCCGCTTACCTGGGTCTTGGCCACAGAAGAGACAAGTTCAGACAAACCAGACCTCTGACACATATGGCAGGTTGGTCTGGGGTGTCTCATTTGGCCATACCATTAGGTTTGCCACCTCTGATTTGTTAATTGCACCAATTAGCTGCTAAGCCACACTGAGCTGATGGGCTCTCGCTCCCCAAGACTGCAGCTGCACCACCTGTGCCCAGTGCCTCTGCTGGCCCTCCAGCCAGTTCTTCAGACTCTCTATGCACAAGAGGGCAAGGGAATACTCTGCTTCTCATTTCCACAGGCTACTCAGCACTATCACAGAGAAAAAACAGGTCTGGCTCGTTGCACGGCTTAGTGAGAAGCTAAGGACTACCAATGCCGGCAGGTGGCTGGGCACCACTCAGCCTTGTCCTGCTTATAGCAGCGAAGGGGAACAGCACAGGGACAGGCCATGCGGCAGGTGCAGTTTCTGAACAGGCAGAAACAACTCTTCATCCTAATAAGGAGGACTGCTCACCCCATGGTACCACATGGCGCTCTCCAGATTTGCTTAGAGAAGACGCCAAGTTCCTGGGACTATCAGCCAAATCTTTCCATCTGGACATGAGTAAGTAACAGGAGAGTCATCCAGGAGACGCCTTCAGATCCAGTCTGCCACCTGCCTGCCCTTTAACGTGCTCCTGGCCACCCACAGAAGATCTGGTTGAAAGCAAACAAATCTCAACCCCCAACCCAGCCAGAGAAGAAATGGAGGACAAAGAGGCAGTGAGATTGACAGAACAACAACAAAAAAGAAAACCCAAAGACAAAACAACCACTGGAAACAAAACCAGACGTCAGTATAGGATAGAAAAAGGGAAAAAGAATTAATTTTAAAAAAAAAAAAAAAAGGTCAGTTAAAAGAAACACAGCTATGCCTTAAAAAGAAATTTGGGATAATATCAAACAGAAGTAGAAAGAGATGGGAGACCAGCCTGGTCCTGAGTTTGTTAGGCCCAGCTAAAGGTTACTTCACCAGACTTACTTGAACCTTGGTGTAACTAAGATGCAAATGCTAGTGGTAGTTTCCCAGCCAGATGTGAACTAATATACAAGCCTGCAGGCAAAGGGGGATGTTGGGAGCAACTTCCAAGAACAAGGGTGTCAGGATGCCAGAAGACAAACGGCTAGACTTGAGCACAAAATCCCAGAATCCCAGTATGGCAGGGGTTGGAAGGGCCCTCCGGGGATCACCCAGTCCAACCCCCCTGCTCAAGCAGCCTCACCCAGAGCAGGGTGCACAGGACATCATCCAGGTGGGGGTTGAGTATCTCCAGAGAAGGAGACTCCACAGCTTTTATGCTTTGCAGGAGGCTAAAACCTAAAGCAAAAGGCCAGGCAACTGTTGGCATTTAGAGGGTGCTCGTAGCACAAGCACAACTCCAGAGCAGGTCTTCATGGAGCAGCCTATGGGCACATCCTTTGGATTGCTCTCCCTGCAGCCCTGGCAGTCCCCTGGCCATGAGGGGGGCTGGCTGGTTTGGGCACTGAATGGCAGTGTATGCCAGGCGATGTCAGCCAACTCCTCCTTGCTCCAGCAAAAAGCAGGAAAACTCATGTCTTGCTGAATGATTAAGGTAGGCAGAGGAAAATTAAACATGCTGTCGACACACCATCACTGAAAAGCAGCTTTTCTAAAATCTCCAGTGCACATGGTCTAAGTAACTACCCCCAAATTAAATGTCCTTGCAGCTGGGTGAGCAACTGATGAAGCCCAAGGTGGTAGGTAGCAGTGCTCTCCCAGATGCCAGCTTGGGTTTGTTGTGGCAGCCAAGTCACCTGCGTCTGGAGAAAACACTGCAGGACCTGTTAAAACGCCAAGCTGAGAATAGACTGCTGAAACTACTGCGAAAACTGTTATGCAGCTGTCGTCTTGTGCTGATAAACTTAGTTTGCTATTGGGCTTTCTTGGACTGCATCGTGTTTTTAAGTTGTTGCAAGTCCTCAGAAAAAAAGTAGCTCCACAGAAACACTGCACTGAGCAGTGCCCCAAGGGATGGAGGAAATGGAAGTAAAGGAGCTGTTTAGGGAAGATCACCAAACCCAAGCCTAACTGCCCAAAGCAGAGAAGAAAAACCTCTGTATCATCACATGAGAAGCCTCTCGGTACTCAACAGTTGCAGAAACCTTACTCTGGTCTGAAGTGCTCCATGTAGTTTCAGGGGGACTTACCTAGCCGCAGCAGTATGGACGACACCTCGGCCAGCTTGCCGCCGGGCACTGGTGCGTTGTACTCGGGTTTGCTCCAGCTGACACCCGCTCGAATTAGCCTCGAATTTATGTAGTCTCTGCAGAGGGCCTTGGCTTGGGACACAAGCTCCTTGTCCGTGGGAGACCTGTCAAAAACCTCCATCACCTCTGCAGCAAAGACAGAGGAAAGAAAAAAAGCTGAACCCACCCCTCAGCAGACACTTGCTGGAAGGCTGAGCCGATGCCTCAGAGGAGAATCCGCAGGAGCTGCGTAGCAATCCTCTGGTCTCTTGGTTCGTCACAGCTCCCAGCAGCTGTTCTCCAAAGACCAGTTTTTCATTTTGCCTGGTGAATAAAAGCATCTGTAAGCCCTCGAGCATTGCAAAGACGTAAATCAGAAGCCCAAGCATTGCACCTTACAGTTACGCTAAAGCCAGTAGTATCGTATTTGCAAAACATCTCTCTTGGTGCATTGTACAGACAAGGGACAAAGTCTTCTGTCTTTCAGCTGCTTGGACTTCCATGGGCAGCATGACCCATGGAAAGGCTGCAGTTTTGAGCTGCCAAGGTGTTCCCTCTTGCCCCGTTCAGATTCAGCAGTCCTGGAACTGCCCTTCAGAGAGACCGGATGGTCAGAGCGTGGAAGCAGTTCACAGAATGTGTAGACAATCTCAGCTTGTTTCAATTAAACTCGAAAAAAACCTGAATCTCAAATATGAGCTCCAGTAACCTCAACCAGATGTCAACAGACATTCCAGCTCAGTAGGTCATGGATCTTTCTGAAGAAATGGCCCTAGTGTGAGAGCAGGGGTATGGGAACGTTTGAAACGTCTCACTGGAGACAGTTTACCACATTCTCAGTTTAGGTATAGGTTCTGTCACTCCTTTTCTCGCTTTTTTTTTTCCCCCCCAAAGCAACGTGCATACTACTTCTTGAAACCCTTTAGCAATAGCAGAGAGCAAAACAGAAAAGCAGATTTAAGAAAAAAAAAAAAAAAAGGTTTCAGGCATGAACACCTAAAGAGGAAATTAGAAATTCCTTCAGAGGCACCTGAATTCATCTGTTGATCTGACTTTTTAACCCAGTGCCACTGCCGAAGTCAGAGTCAGACCAAAGCCTTTATTCAGATGTCGGTAAATGTATTTCTCAGTCCCCGGTTTGAGACACCTCCTTACAATAGCAATTTTCAAACAAAATAACACCAGTTACTTTCAGTTTTCCCAATGAAAAAAAATGCATTTACCTCTCATGTTGTGCTTTGTTCCCCTCAGTGATTTCTTTTCGGGGTTGGCTTCACGTTTCTTTGGAAGATCTGCATCAGCGAGTGCCTAGTCTGGGATCCATCGGAGGCGGTCAGGCCG